AATGGTGGTTAGCGGACTAATCGCCCACTCGATATTTGTATTGACTTCAGGATTAGTCTAGGAGAGCTGCTCTGCAGAACCACAGTGGGGCTACGTCTACATTGGCATGATTTTCCGGAAATGCTTTTAACGGAAAAGTTTTCCGTTAAAAGCATTTTCGGAAAAGCACGTCTAGATTGGCACGGACGCTTTTCTGCAAAAGCCATTTTCGCGATCTGGGTTTTTTTTGCGCAAAACAGTACTGTCCTGTCTACACGGGCCCTCTTCCGCAAATGATTTGCGCAAGAGGGCTTTTGCCCGAACGGGAGCAGCACTATTTCCGCAAGAACACAGACGATCTTACATGCGATTGTCAGTGTTCTTGTGGAAATTCAAGTGGCCAGTGTAGACAGCTGGCAAGTTTTTCTGCAAAAGCAGATGCTTTTGCAGAAAAACTTGCCAGTTTAGACACAGCCTGGGGGTAGCGCCAGCAGCTGGCTCCAGCCGGGACTGAGCAGTCCCAGCTCGTGCTGACTCCAGGAACCACCTGAGCGCTGCGGCTCTGCATTTTAATGTAGTAAGAGCCGCTGGGCTCTTACTACATGTAAAATGCAGAGGTGCAACATCCCGGACCAGCCTGAGCCGGGACTGCTCGGTCCTGGCTCACGTTGAGTCCAGGAGCCTCTGTTCGCGGAGGCCAGCCCCATTTGCCACGAACAGGGGCTGCTGCTGTCAGAGCTCCTGAGCGCAGCCAGTCCAGGCTGCTGCTAACAGGGCTGCTTGGCAGCAGTCTTCCTTCCCTTCCCTTCCCTTCCCGTCCCCCCACCACTGCTTGGGGAGGGAAGAAGGTGGCTCTTGTCCACCCTCCCTCTTGCTGACTCTCAGAGAGGCAGCATGTGGGGGAGAAGCAAGTAGTTACCTCAGTCGACTACTTGCTAACATCCCTAGGGAGGCACTGCTCAGCTCCCTTTCATCCAATGTACAGTCAGTCCCCTGCCTTCTTGTATCTTAAGACATTCACAGGTCTGCTCCATCCCCTTGCACTGGAGGCTGTGCCTCTTGGGACACTGTCCTTTTTTAGTCCAGAAGCTGGAGAGGTTGAAGAAGACAAGCACAACTTGACTAGAGCTGGCTCACTCAGGTTGGAGAGGTTCATACATTCTTGAGCCCCTTCCTTTGTTTCACTCCCCTCAATTGCTAAATCTTGTTCTTCACCCCACTCCAGCAGTAAATGGAGATTATGGTGGGAGGCAGAAACAAGTTGCATCAGCTGCTGACTTTGAGCCAGTTCCCTGCTTCCCCCACCCCAGTCTGTCCTTCCCCACAAGTTGCTGCTTCCCCATTTTGCAGAAGTGGCAAGTGGCACAGTTAGTGTGACCAGATGTTGTAGAGGCAGTTCTGATATGATCTGCCAGCTCTGAAGGCTGGAGGGTCCCAGCACTACAGTCCAGGTGGTGCTGAGGGCTGATTGCCCTGTCTGTCCCCACCCCCATCCCTTCTGCCTTTTTGGGGCACAGAGCGGGCCACATACACCTTGCCCAGAGGCCTGTGGAAGTTATCAACTCCCCTGAGAACAGGTGTCCCTTTGACAATTGAAACAGGAGGACCAGGCCTTCTGCAGAGCCAAGGAGGTAAATCTGAGCAGCATCTGAGCAGTACTGAACATTGCGCAGGATTCTCTTGCTGAAGGAGAAGCCAGATTGCAAGAACAAAATCCTACCACATTTCTCAGGTTGAGGCTCTGAAACTCATGCTCCTATCCACTAGGGTTGCCTCCCATTCGGTATGAAAACCAAGGATGTCCAGGATGATGGTGAGCCCATAAAGTTGGACAGTTGGCAGTATCTACTGACCACTCTTACAGATTTCCTAGGATAGCTACCTCAGAAAAGGGACAATCCTGAGGAAACTTAGAACATTGGCAGTCCTAATGACCATGTTCCATGGAAACAGATACAGCCACTCCTCTTGTATATCTGCACACATACCAACACCCATTTGTCCTTCAATACATTCTAGTCACCTACATTATGATTTTCAGTTTGGCAGAAAATAGGTGATTGGGGTTCAGGAAAGGTGGATCCCTATGCATGTGTCCTACTGTCCTGCTACTGTCTGGAATTAAAACAGAGCACTTGTGTGCTTTACTCTGCTAACAACTAATGGAGAGGCTCCTTTCACTCAGACAATGGGAGCTTTTGCTTTTGAAGTGAGAGAATGGGTTTTTCACTAGGAAATTCCAAGTGACCACAGAGTGCAGTAGCAAAGTATCTGCATAAACCTATGTGGCTTTGGATTTGTTCCAATATAATTTGTGCCACGGCTGTGCCCCAGCACCTCTAGGCTTGGTAGTTCATAGCCCCAGCTTCTCTGTGCTTGCTGCATCAATTATGAATGTAAACACATTGCTTGTGTCCTCACACCTCTTTCATTACATATTAAGCACTGAATATAATGCATAACAGAGAAGAAAAAGTGGGGAAACTCCCTTCTCCACAATGTATGAATATTTTATTTAATTGATTAATTAATTTAACCCTTACTATCTTTCACTGAAAGGCAGCCAGAACCAGTAACCCCCTTTACTTTTCCTCTTCCTTTTCTGTTTACCCCCTAGCCAGATGATGACAGGACATCCAACGCATCCCCAGCATCTCTCTCCTTGTCCAAATGTTTCTGTTGTAGGCAGCTGGGTTTTAGTTATCACTGCAGTGAAGAAACTGAATGAGAATCCCTAAACCAGCTCCTAGTTCACCATTTTAAGTAAAGTTCAGTTATACTCATTCCTGCCTCTTTTCTGGCCTGGTCTACACACAGAAAATGCACTTGTAACTTGTGTGAATGCTGTTAAATTGGTTTAAGAATGCTTTACCTTACTCTGTCAGGTAGAAGAATAGATTATGAATTGTATTGTTTGGACCTAAAACAGATCTACCGTATTTTCCGGCATATAAGGCTACTGGGTGTATAAGACGACCCCCTAATTTTTTAGTTAAAAGATAGGGTTTCATCTTATACCCCAGCGCCCCTCCGCCTCCCGGCTTTGCTCCCGGTGTCCCTGGTCTGCTGGAGACGGTCCCCAGCAGACCAGGGACACCGGGAGCAAAGCCGGGAGGCGGAGGGGCGCTGGGGTATAAGATGAAACCCTATCTTTTAACTAAAAAATTAGGGGGTCGTCTTATACACCCAGTAGCCTTATATGCCGGAAAATACGGTAGATCTGTTTTAGGTCCAAACAATACAATTCATAATCTATTCTTCTACCTGACAGAGTAAGGTAAAGCATTCTTAAACCAATTTAACAGCATTCACACAAGTTACAAGTGCATTTTCTGTGTGTAGACCAGGCCAGAAAAGAGGCAGGAATGAGTATAACTGAACTTTACTTAAAATGGTGAACTAGGAGCTGGTTTAGGGATTCTCATTCAGTTTCTTCACTGCAGTGATAACTAAAACCCAGCAGATACAGGAAAGCCTCATCAGAGAAGAGTAAAGAGGATCTGGGGCCTCAACTCTCTAACCCAGCCGATGGGGTGATAAAGGAACTAATTTAGGAGAGAGATTTAAAATGCAGCAGGTAGGTTTCTGGAAATAATGTAATCTTTTAAATGTATGTTGGATTAAATACATTTATCTCTGAAGAAAGGGACTGAAATTCTGCTGCTGTTGGGAGCCATATAGAGTGTCTGGCCTAGTGAATTGGATCATACTGTTGGGCCCTCTAAAGACTCCATCATCTTGCTCTTCCTACAGCAGCACTCCCTTTGGACTGCTATGGACTGAACATTTCTACCTACTCCCAGAGTTTCCATCCTTCAGAAACTTGTAGATGTCTTCAATTTGTTCAGCCAAGTGACACATACTTTCAGTAGTCACCTCAAAAAATGAAATGGAACCTTAAGTAAACAAGAGAACCACAAGGTACAAATTAGGTGCACAGTTCTTTATTGCATTGACTTTCTCCAGAAAGGTAAACAAGCTCAATTTAAGTGTTGGCTGCCATCCCATAACTGGTGAAACAGAATTAAGATGGGGTACTCCACAGTAAATCACTCTGAATATTTAGTCACAACAGGGCACTTGTTTAATTTGGGTAATCAAGGAAAAAATCAGAGAAATGACTACACGTTGGGGATGCATTTCCTTTTTGCTTTTTCAGATAACTGAGTTTTACAAGTAACTCGCCTTGCTCAAAATCTGAGAGTGGTTAGTTGTATTCAGCATTCTTTGAAAGTCAGTCCCATGCTTAAAGTTCCCTTAAAAGAAAATAAAGGACCAAGTGAACAAGAGAACTATAGAGTTTAAGGTTCCCTTCTGCACCCCACTGCATGAATTATCATACTAAGAGACTGATATCTTTCTTGCAGGACTAGCCTTTCATATCTCATATTTGGAGGAAAATATGCATGCAATACTTTTTGAGCAATTAACACTGAAAATGGACTGTTGTTCAAGAGTCCGTGTCTCTGTTCCAGGTTGATTGGTTTTGATTTGATTTTCATGGTAGGAACTGTCATAGTGAAGCACCAGTGAAATTTCACTTACTTTTGGTGTTATTAACATGGAAGATTTAAGAGAGAAATTATGAGTACCCACGTGCAGTGGCCTGTGTTCTAGGAGCAGTGTCTTTACCAGTAAGTGCAAAAGGCTCCCTTCATTTAATTTCTCTGTCTTTCAGTAACAAAGCATGATACATCGTTGTGGATTGATCATATGAAATCACATGGACACAGGGTTGAGTTTAATGAAGTTATTTTGCATTATTTACTTCCACAGAGGGCAAATAAAATTGTAATGTAGATACTTTCTGCTTCATTAATGAAATACACCCCAATAGCAAACAATCTGGACTGTGACAATGTAATTAAAATGGATCAAAAATAGGAGAAAAAAAGTAGTTAGAAACTTTGGGCATAGTTAAAAGTATGTTCTGCCTTGTATTTCACAACAGTTCAACTTTTTTCATGTTCTGATTTTTTTCCTCAGAATATTTTTCTAAGTAAAATTTTTCAGCTTTGAACTGTGATACTTTAAAAAATGAACATTTTAATTTTTAATATATAATTTCACCATGTGTCTGATCTGACCAATTAAAACTGGCATTTCAATAAAAACCAAACAAATGGGAATAATATTTTGAAGAACATCCAACAGATTACACCTTTTATTTAAAGATTATTTTTATTTTTTTAAATGTAAGATTTCAAAAATTCTAACTGTCATTAAACATAACTTGTTCTTTTTTTGTTTACATCTTCACTTGGCTAAAAGATTAATTTAATTCTTTGGTTTTGTTTGTGTTTTAAAATAACAACAAAAACTAGTGGAATGTTATGGGGTGATTCAACATATCTAGTGAAAATATCTTCATTGTATTGTTTGCCTTGATACAAGATAAACTTCCTCATGTCATTGCACTTAGATATAAGATGAATGGGGTAGATTTTCAAAAGATTATATGGCATTTTGATCCCTGCCTATTTCCGATTGATTTCCTCTTGGAATTAGGCACCTACATATGTTTAAACAGCCTGCATAAGTGACTCTACCATCCTGGGCTGTCAGACTTGAGTTACAGGGCAATAGCTGTGTAGATGTTTCTTTGACTTTGCAAGTCAGCCTGGAACTCTGAATCCTACTCTGAATCCTACTCTGAAGGAGTGGATTGTTGACCTGGCCTGGGAGGTTCACTTATGTGTGTTGTGTAGACATACCCTAAGTGTACCTTTGAAAATCCGCCCTAAGCTTCTTCATTTCATTGTGTGGGTGAATTAGCAAAGAACATTTATTTTTTGTTAAATAACAATCCACTACTATCTCTAATTACATTCTAAATAGATAATATTTTTATACCAATATAATTATTTTTCTGTCATGATCTGATGTGCTCAACACCTCTGATACTCAATAGTGGTGGGCTCTGGCCTACTTTTGGTATCTCCCAGGGAAAGGAAGATGGACACCTTCAATGGGAGTGGGCAGGGTGGAGACCCCAGCACTATTTGGGAAGGAAGGATCCAACACTGAAGTGGGAACATGAACGGGCACTCCAGTGATAAGGGAGAAATTCTAGCCACCAGGGATAGTGGCTACTACTGTGGAAAAACAGTATCTGAACTCATCTGTTACGTGGTAAAATGCAGGGAAATTAGTTCTGTTGCAAGAGCAGTAGGTATATAAATTAGAATGGCACCTGTGTTAACAGACTCCTAATGGGGCACAGCATGTGTTCACATGAATTAATAGCAGGGCTTGCTGAACTATGGCAAGCCCCGCTCGCCCGTCGCACTGTCCAGCGATCGGTGCATGCACAGATCGTTCTGCGCATGCGCAGATCGCCGGAACCCAGCTCTTCCGGGTTACAATCTACTCGCCACGGGTGAGTAGATTGTATAATTTGTCGAGCCCTGATTATTAGATTGCTGTCTGCAGGGTTGTAGCCATGTTGGTCCCAGGAAATCAGAGAGACAAGGTGGGTGAAATAATATCTTTTATAGGACTGACTTCTGTTAGAGAGAGACAAGATTTCAGTCTTGCACAGAGCTCTTTTTCAGGTCTGGCTTCTTTAGATCTGACGAAGCTCTGTGCAAGTTCAAAAGCTCATCTCTTTCAGCCACAGCTGGTCCAAGAAAAGGTATTAACTCACCCACCATGTCTCTCTTGTTACATTGCTGTCATTTCCAAAGGCCCTGATTGGGATTAGGGACCTAGGGTATGTCTACACTAGCTCGTTAGTTCGAGGTAGGTAGGCAAATGAGGGCAACCGGAGTTGCAAATGAAGCCCGGAATTTAAATATCCCGGGCTTCATTTGCATGTTCCCGGGTGCCGCCATTTTAAAATCCCCCTTAGTCCGAACTCCGTGCCCGCGGCTACATGCGACACCGAGTAGGTAGTTCGAATTAGAGATCTTAATTGGAACTACCATTACTCCTTGTTCCTCATTCAGCCACAGGCACGGAGTTCGGACTAAGGGGGATTTTAAAATGGCAGTGCCTGGGAACATGCAAATGAAGCCTGGGATATTTAAATCCCGGGCTTCATTTGCAACTCCGGTTGCCCTCATTTGCCTACCTAGCATGCAAATGAAGCCCGGGATATTTAAATTCCGGGCTTCATTTGCAACTCCGGTTGCCCTCATTTGCCTACCTAGCTCGAACTAACGAGCTAGTGTAGATATACCCCTAGAGTGGTAAGTGCTTTGAAAGCACATAGGATGGGGTGGGCAATCATTTTTTGCCGGGGGCCACTTCGGAAATTTTTGAAGTGGCCCCGAACTGCATAGGGAGGGGCAGGGCATCGAGCAGAAGGGGTAGGGCCAAGCTATTTCTGGGTTCCCCACCCCCAGGCGACGGGTCTGGAGGTAAGGGAGTGCCTTTCCCTCACCCCACATTCTTTCAACGTGTCCATGCCCCTGGCGTGGGAGGAGAGTTCCCTTGCTCCTCTGCCCCTAGGCCAATTAGGGTCTGGGGGCATGGGAGCATGTGAAGCCTCCTCCATGCTTCCTCCCACCCCACCCCGCCCTGCAAGCAGCGTGTGATGTTTCAAAGCGGTGCGTAGTCCTGGCAGGATGGGTGGAGGCTTCGTGCACTCGCCTGCCCTCAGTGCCAGATTTGCCCCAGATCCCTAAATGGCCCCCTCAAAGACTGAACTCACAACCCTGGGTTTAGCAGGCCAGTGCTCAACTCACTGAGCTATCCCTCCCCCCCTTTGCTGGTCACTGGCGGCAGACTGGAGCCAATCAGCACCCAACAAACTGGGCTGGGGGGTGACCATGGAACGCCAGGGGCGACTGTTCAACTGCCATGTGGGGTTAACGCCTGATTTATTCCAGAGGCAGCGAGAGGAGGGGCTGAGCCTGGGGCTGATCAGCATGTGACCCTCCTGAACCAGCTGGCCCCAGAAGTTAGCAAGGGGGATCAAAGAATCTCCCAGAGGGCCTACTAGAGACCAACTTAAATAACGTCTCTTCCCACCCCCTTCACCCTGGACTGAATCCCCCACTTCTCCTGAGAACTGTGGGGCCAGGGTGACGATGGGGGATGTCAGGCCAGGGTAGGGCTCGGATCCCACTGCAAGAGGTAAAGCTCAGGAGAGGATGATCCCATGGGAAATACGGGGTTTGTTTGTAGGGCATGAAGCCCGGGGAAGGGGCTCTTTGACAGGTGCATGGGTATTGAGGACTAGGGTCCAGATTCCACCCTGACCATTATATGCTCTTAAGGCCATGTACAGAGGCTGTGACAGACCAGGAAGCCTTCTCTTTGTGCAGGCTTTGGTGTAGTAGCTGTGCTGGAGCTGGGAATGGCCTGGCTTGTAGCCAGCGGCAGATATAGGGCAGGGTGAGCAGGGCAGCTGCCCCGGACTCCGCACTTCAATAGGCCCCGTGCATGCGCTACTACCTGTTGGCTGTGGCCGTGGCACATGTGCACAATTGTGCTGCCCCAGGCTCCACGCTTCAATAGGCCCCGTGCCCTGGGCCCCACAAAACTCTCATCCGCCCCTGCTTGTAGCACAGAGTGCTGTGGAGATTCTGGGCTCCAGGATTTCTGGGATAAATTACAGCAGCTGCTACGATTCCTCTACTTTATGCCATTGCATTCTCTGTAGCTATGCCATCTGTACGACACCTTCATCTAGGCACAGCCCAGAATCTAGCTCTAGAGATCTGCACACAGCAGCTTCATGCAACTTTTGCAGGAGTTGAGTTCCTGCACAATTATGGAATCCACTTCCCACTGGAGCAAAGGAAAAACTGAGGAGACAAAACTAGAGTTAAAGACATTGCACCTATATCTGAGCAGGAACCTTGGGGGTTGGAGGGAGAGTCTAGAGAGAGCAAGTACAAGTACAGAGGAGTATCTTACTCTTCTTTATGGTACCAACTGCTGATTTTATTCTGACAGGAGATGATGGCTTTCTGAGGAAGAGCGAGGTGTGGATATCCATGAGACTCCCATACTAGGAAAGGTTTGCCAATAGGGAGAAGGTCACGGGGTGTGGGGCACCGTTGGGAAGGGCAGAAAATAAAGAAGAAGGGACGCTCAGTTACTGGGGGATCTGCTATTAATTTCAATAACATCTAAATACCTTTGGAGATGTGATCCAACGAGCCTGCATTGAGAAGCACTAAAGAAAGTTGTCCTATATAGGCAGCTCTGCATTCAGAGCAGCTTTCTGCCTCATTACATTTCCCCATCTTTCTCCCAGGAGTTGAGTTCCTCCAAAGATCTGGGATACTCTTTACAGCTCCACTTCTCTTGGGATCTCAGAGCTTCTTCAGCCAGTTGGAATCTGCCAGTGCAAAGAACACATCCATTTTCATCTCAATGGATTTCCAGAAGAAGAGACAGTCTCCACAGCGCCTATCCGGTGCAGATGGGGCCCAATTCCATATCCACCAGGCAGAGCAGATCAGAATCTGTGACCGCTTCCTCCTAGGAAACTGTGTGGAAGGAGCGGGCTGTCCACTCCACCACACCCGCTACCCCTACCATTGGCAGTTAAGGCGGAGTGACAACAAGGCCTGGCAGAATTTGAGTGACTCAGCTCAGCGCCACCTGGAAAATCTTTACTGCAATGTTACCAAAAGCCATGCTCATTTTTTGGACAAGTAAGTGATGGAAAAATTCCAGCCCCATTATTTCCCAGCAAGAAGTGCTGTGAAGAACAGCACAAGAGAACAAACCGTAGTGAGACCATTCCAACACAGGTCCTTGCTCTTACAGTAGGAGACAAGGACGGGAATGGGGAAGATGTTCTAATTGTTCTAGCACAGGCTGAATCTTCCCTTACAGGATGAACACTAGGGAATAGGGAAGAAGCTCTGGCTGTGGAGAGCTCCCAGCTATGCTCCAATGCTAGTCCCTCTCAACTGGAGGTGCAGAACAGAACTATAGCACTGGCTGTGAGGAATACAAAGACAGTTTCTCCCGTCCCAGTCACTCCCAGCAGAGGCCATTATAGAGGATGGTGGAGGGCTATTGCTGCTCTAGGGAGGTCACGCAATGGCAGGCTCACTCCCCCGGCAGCACACAAGCTTGTAACTATTTATGTATTTGTTTTCCCTCATAGCAATAATTCTTCTGGGAAACTTGCCCTGACTTCCTTGGAAGTGATAACCTCTGAGACCTATGACAAAGTGAGGCGTCTTTCCAATACCTGCGATTCACAGCAGAACCCCTATTTCCCCACACAGTGGTCAGTGTTTTGGGAAAATGGTAATAAATGGATAAAATATGAGGAGGTAAGGGGAAGAAGATGAGGCTTCACGGTATGATGTTCTGGCTAGTGTCTGTCATGCAAGCTGTCTCCTCAAATAATGCTTCATGGTAATGAATGCAATTACACAGGGTTAGTGTGTCAGTGAGGGAGGTAACTGCAGAATGCCTGGCCCCACCACCAGGAGCTGTAGAATAGAAAACTGTTGCTTTGATCCTATTAAGACCAAGGAGGCCAAGAGTTCATGGAATATACATCAAGAAACTGGAGAAAAACATACAGGCTACGTCTACACTGGCATGATTTTCCGAAAATGCTTTTAACGGAAAAGTTTTCCGTTAAAAGCATTTTCGGAAAAGCACATCTAGATTGGCAGGATGCTTTTCCGCAAAAGCACTTTTTGCGGAAAAGCGTCCGT